GGGGGGGACTATGACATCTGCAAAGCCAAAGCAGCTGAAGAGGAAGGTAGACTACACAGATTTGAATTCATACTGTCTAGCACCCATAAACTGAGATTTCCAAATGTCAAACTGAGAGCTTAAAGAACTTGTGCACTTTTAACAGGTACCGTTTATCTCTAATAGACTGCTGAACAGAAATCTCCCAACACAGGGACCAAGCAAAATGGTCCTCAGATGTTCTGACAACTGGTGATAAAAATTCCAGAGAAGGCCTCAAATGAAGAGCTACTGAGCTGTCAGAGCACCCTTATATCTCCTTGAAGCACCAATCCTTCTGCAGGCTCTGCCTATCACAGAAAACTAAACTATTCTTTTCCTGAGGGCTGATATGTGTTTAAAGCACCTAGATCACAACACTACTCTTTTCAGTCTAGTTCTCACTAGTAAAAACAAGAAAAGTAATTTAATGCATGAATTTGAACTCTAGATAAAAGGTAATAAACACCCTCATTAGAACCCACTTTTGACATACTTCAAGACAAAGCTCTTGCAAGGTAGTTTTCAAACTTTCACTGTGTCCTAGCAGAGCAATTAAACTTTTGTCAAACATTACTTAGAAATCTTAAAGTTGAAATATTTTTATAAAACCTACTTGTGCTAAGGAGCACATACTTTGAGCTAGCACATTCCTGGGAGGGGGGAAGAACTCCTATCAGAAATTACCATAAAAAGTCTTTTTTTGACTTTCACAAACCAGAATTTCTAATAAATGTTTCCAAATTTGGTTGACAAATTTGAAGACATTATATATCATATGCAATATTGCATATCAGGCTAATTCCCAGTCGTCGTCTTTTGCATGCTAAAGGATCACAACTCAGTGATGCATACAGTCTCAGTTTAATTTCAAGCAAAAGACTGTCCACATAGGAAAACAGGATGCCTACATGAGAGAAAAGTGTCTTACATCAAAAAAGAATACAAGCAATCAATTATTATCTATTGGACTAGATATAAGGAAGGTGTCTTTTCACAATAAGGGTGATGAAACACTGGCACAGGTTGCCCAGAGAGGTGGTAGATACCCCATCCCTGGAAACATTCAAGGCCAGGTTGGACGGGGCTCTGAGCAACTGATCGAGTTGAAGACGTCCCTGCTCACTGCAGGGGGGTTGGGCTAGATGACCTCTAAAGGTCCGTTCCAACCCAAAGCATTCTATGATCTATTCCATATCTACATGTACCAGTGGAAAACACCACCAACTTCTACTTAGTTTGTTTTCCTGCTGGAAGTTGTTACCTCCTCTAATCTGCTGGGAATCCGTACTTGTGAGCTCTCTCCAATCTGTTCTATGCGAGAGCATCTAGCTCATTTCAAATGGTAGTCTCATCTAATTTGACACAAAGCACACTAGAAAGAGTTTACACAAACAGCTCCCCAGCACGTCAGGTAGCTGTTAATGCTTTTCATGAGCACAACTGGATGGAGAAGTAAATGTTCATCAACAGCCTTACAGCTAGACAAAGTCACTGGATCAACAGATAACAGATCATCTATGAATATGTAACACACAAAACGGTCCCATGATTTGGACACACTGGAACTAAATTTCACTTTTTCCATCTCTGCTGCCACACATCCACCATCACACGTCAACAAACGACAAAAAAAAATCCAGTAACAAAGTATCTTGGTTATCTCTTCATTATTGCTTAATTTCATCCTGATTATCCATTGCAGTCATTCTCACACTGGAAATTACAGACAATGCACTCTAAGGGCAAATGACAGGTGAACAGGGGTCATGTTTGGCCATTCAGTCTCACAGATGAAGAGGCTGTAAAGCCAGCATCTTCCCCCAGCTGACGATTCTGGTGATCCCGTTCCTGCCTCTCAATACACCCATGGTATATACATATAATTTCAGTACACGGGAGAAACACACTACTTTAGCTTCTGCACAGGTGTCAACTGCATTAGAAGAAAAGCTATCCCCTGAACTTGACCACTTTATCTACAAGACTGCTGCTGGGAGTATTAAATCACCAGTGATGGGACTCTAAAACAAGAGACAGAGAAGGGGGAATAGCTAGATATTGCCATAGTACCCCAAGGTAACACAGCAGCCTAATTCGCATATGGCATTATCAAGTAAACGCAAGCTATTATCAAATGTAGAAACTATTAGGGCCTGACAACATGCAAAATTAATTTCACTACACATCTCTCTGTCTGTGTTCAAATACATAGAAATGCAAAGCAATCTATTGTAGATATACTGTGATTTGGTATTGGTGCAGAGAGTTCATAAACTATGTAGATAGCCTTTGCCAAGTTGCTTTAACTCTCTCTTGCTCATGCACCCTACAGAGACCATGCAGAGGCAACCATCTAAGTCTAGGTTACAACAAGTCCAACAGTGCTGTGGTAATGTAGAAGGTTTTTCATTCCATAGTGAAACACACATATCCGCCCGTGGTCATCCCACTCGGAAAAACACAAGCTTCTAACAATTCAGGCAGTCTGCTTTCAGACAGCATCTAAGTCCTCTATTTCTACAGTGAGTAGAAAGATATTGCCAAAACAAGTTACTGCAAAATTCATCCACAATAAAAGTATTTATCGTTTATGTAGTTACCACCTTTAATTTTTATCATAAAAACAACTAACGGCAAGCCCATTTTTTCCCCTGAGAAACAATCTGTCATTCAAAACACTGATTTGACCATCTTTGGAAGCATAACATTTGCTTTCAAACCAGTAAAGCCAATGACCGTGTGAAGCTTCAGAATACTGACTTGCTGAATCTTAATCAAAGGAGCTATCATGAACTCTTTATAGCAACAGACATGATTCTTCTATACGCCTGTCATTACTTTCTGCTCAGCCAAATTACAACCACCAAAAGGTCTCCACCACCAGCTACGCTGAGCGCCGCGTACCCAAGTACAACTGCCACGCTCCTCCGCACCAGTGGCTGCAAATTCAGCAACAGTTGGTGGGACACGGAGCAGCACCACAGGCAGAGGGCACCGCAGCCGTTATTCGCAATTACACGCTTTCCACTGACCAGTGCGGCTCACCAGCCAGCCATCTCCCCGGCGAATTCAAGGGGATCTGCGTGACAGAACCACCACCACTGACCCTGGCTCTAATGTTCAAATGCTGACTTCCTGACCTGAGGTTAAACAACACGCTCTCCCAGCGCAATGTTTGCCTCCTGTAGGGCACCTTCCATGGAGACAAACGTGTCCCATGTGTTCCATCTCACAGAATCATAGGTTGGAAAAGACCTCTAAGACCATCAAGTCCAACAGACCTCTAAGACCATCAAGTCCAACCATCAACCCAACACCACCATGCCTGCTAAACCACGCCCTGAAGTGCCACATCTACACACTTCTTAAACACCTCCAGGGATGGGGACCGAGTTTTGAGGTGCAGATACTTTGAAAGGGTCAGAGTTCTAATTCAAACTTGTCTACGGAAAAAATAGCAGATACTCTGCTAAATGATAGAGGGATCCTGCAGAACACATTCAGAGCAGGAGCCACAAAGATAGTTTAACTAGGATGTCATTTACTCTGTACAGAGTTGGCAGCCAAACCAATCTAGTTTCAAATACCACAATTTAAATGGAGACAAACTCACCCAGTATGGAGTCTCTTGTCCAGGAAATTGGATTAATTTCCTCCTTCATGTAGCATATGCACCATTTTTTTTGACTAGAAATTAAACCCCCAGACTACTCTTCTTATGCTACTGCATGGTACTACTATGAACAAGCCCATTCAGGGCAGAGTTAATCTGGCTAATCAGTAACAAACAATTTTTGTCATAAACTTGCCTATCTTAAAAATTTGCCCTTCATTATCCTCTTTTTCTCCAGCAAAGTCAACAACTCTGATTTTCTAGAAGATGAAAACAAAGTGTCCATTTTGCCTGAGAAATGATGACGCCTCTAACTATGCAATGTTATGTTATTATTATAATTGTCTGCCCACTATTAGTGAACTCTTTCATCTGGATTGTGAAACGGTACTGGAAACAGCCTTCCAAACTAAGAAAAACACCTGTGTCCTAATCATACACCCCATCCTGGTATGCGCTATGAATGATGAGTAATGCTCAGCAGCCAGTCCCCACTCTGTTCTCTGGCAGCCTTTTAACTTCAGCCAAGTTCTAAATGTAAGATCACACACGATGAGGAAGGTCTATATTTGCTAAAATAGCATAGACATAGTTTCAGTCTTTCTTATGACAATTTTCTGAAGTAGTTCAAGAGACAATGTTGGCCTTAATTCAAGAGGTTGTTTACATACTCTGGGATGAGTGAGAACGTTCCTATCACTTTCGTAGCACCCTGATCACGTGAGATATGCTGCATTGGTACCAGCCCAGCAAAGCCTTTAAACATATATGTATTTTTAAGTTCTGTGTGGATTTAAAGTAAGTCTCTTGCATGAGGCTGGAAAGCAAGACATGAAAAAAAAAAAAAGAGAGGGAAAAAAAAACCCTGAACTGAAACATAAAGTCCTACTAGGAAAGGGCTGTGTGCTTAGTCCTGTCATAAACTTTGTCCTCTGCAACGCGGTGTTGCG